TGCATCTAGCCAGTCAATGTGTGATTCTATATCTTTCTATGTTATCTACCTGGCCTCCCTGTTCATTACCACCACTATCTTTATGTTCTTGCTAAACCTTCCAAACATGGCAACCAAGCCCACATAGTAATGTGCAATATTTTTTGTTTATCAGCTGGTTGGTTTTTCTAGTCCTGTACTCTGAACTGAAGTTTGAAGTGAAGTATTGCTTCTAAAAAATTTCCTTGCCACTCCAAAACAAAACAAATTATTCAAAAGGAATAGGAATTCCCTGAATTGCATAAGCTGAATATTTTTAATTAAACCAAAAGTGACAATTCATTTCAAAAACAATATGTGTAATTACAGGAGAAAATTTAAGGCGAATCACAATGAGAAAAACTAGTACCATACACACCAATGTATTTTCTGAAGAGTTTAAAACATTACAATTGCATTGGTCTTAATGGTACTAATTTTTTCACATTATTACATATCAATTCTAAATGCCACAATTAAAAAAGACTTCACAAATCGGAAATAATTTATTTCCTAAAAAAAGTATGATACATTTGTTGAAGATGAATGCTTTGCTGCCTTCATTGAGAAGTAGTTGTTTACTGTAATTCACAAAATTTACAAACATACAATTAGCCATGGATCTTCAGGCATTGAAAGAGTAATGTATTATTAACAATACAAAAGATATTCCCAAACCCAGAAGAAATAAAAAACAGAAAAAATGAAAAATTATAAGCATACATGAAAATTAGGAATGAAGAACTTAATCAGAAACCTTGAACCAAAAGAAACCAAAGCAGAATCCCTCGATGGCAAGTTGTAGGAGAAAGATGCCCCTTCATGAAAGCATTCCAATTCCCAAATGAGAACATAAAAAAGCCATGGCAAAAGTTTACTTTTTGCCACCCTGAAAGGAAGTGCAACCATTAACAGCACCCAGTAACCGAGAATAGTATGTTCCACACAAGGCACACAGGAACACCATGCACATGCAAGTTCTCTCTCCACAAGAATCTAGCATCTTGCGCAAAATTAATGACACTCGCTCACATTCGTAAATTAAATAACCAAAATCTCATCAACACAGTATCCAATTTATGAAATAAGTTCGAATTTTGAAATTTTAACAGTTATGGCATGATGCAACTAGGTAAATACAACACAGGCTTAAAAAAATTTAGCCTAGACTTACAAGCAATTAAAACCAAATAGACGGCAGAAAACAAGAGCTGTTACAAACAAAATGGATTAGAAACAAAATTAAAAATATTCAAAATTAATGTTCTTCAAAGCAGTACCTCTCAATGCAAGTAATAAAAATAGAACAGGTATGTAAAAAGACCTGGTAAATCTAGAATTCCCGTAATTTTTTTAAGAAATAAAAATATTTTATTTGCTGACCTAACCAAAGCTAGGCTTAGTATGCAACTACATATTTATTTGTTTGTTCACAGTAGTTTGTGATCAAATTTTTGTAATACGGAGGTGGTCCCAGAAGTACCCGGCCTGACCTAGAGATCGCGGTAACGTCTCAAAAAAACACCCCTGTATTAGAAAGTAGACAATCTATGAAGCATATGTTTCAAGTTTGAAGACGCTACGTTGTTTAGTATTTGTTTGGCAACAATTAATAGGGAACGTTGTGAGTGAATTTGTAAAAATGGATAAAACTGGTCATCATTATGTGATCCAATACTTTCATTTGAAAGGCCTCAGCCCAACCAGTATAAAAACTGAACTAGAAGAGATTCTACTTTGGCTGAGTCAGCGCCTTCGTTTACTAAAGTAAAATATTGGGTGGCAGAGTTTAAACGAGGCCGTACGAGCTGCCAAGACGAGCATCACAGTGGTCGACCAAATGAGGTGACAACCCCAGAAATGGTAAAGAAAATTCACAAGCGGGACTGGGTGATCGTCAACTGAAAGTGCGTGAGCTAGCAGACATAGTAGGCATTTCAAAAAGCTTGTTACCCTTTACATCGCATATTATCTGAAAATTTAGACACGAGAAAGCTGTGTGCAAAATGGGTGCAGCGTTTGCTCACACCTGAGCAAAAACAGTGTCGTGAAGATGTTTCAATTGAGTGTTTAGCGAAAATTCACCACAACAAAGCAGATTTTTTACGCAGTTTCATAACCATGGATGAAACGGGTCCACCACTTCACCCCAGAAAGAAAATAACAATCAAAACAATGGACTGAAAAGGGAGAACGCACACCAAAGAAGGCAAAAACCGTTTCATCTGCAGGCAAGGTCATGGTGTCGGTTTTTTGGGATGCACGGGGCATAATTTTCATGGGCAAAATTAATGAATTAAAATTTGAATTGCTACCTCATGCACCCTATTCACCAGATTTAGCCCTCTCTGATTATTTTCTGTTCCCTAACTTGAAACAATGGCTCAGTGGTCAAAGATTTTCCAACAATGAAGTGATGTCGATAGTTAATGGCTATTTTGAGGAGCAAGTTCTTATAATAAAAAGGGTATCGAACTTATTAAACATCGCTGGGAAAAGTGTATAGAGCTCAAAGGAGATTGTTGAAAAATAAACATTTTCTTCCAAAATTTTTGTTTTTTCTTTGTTGGGTCGGGTACTTCTGGGACCACCCTCGTACATATAAGACTGAGGCTTTTTGAAGTGATCCAAAACCATTTAGAACTAAAAGAATTCTTCAAAGAAAACTCTGCATCCAATAACCTACTGAAAGGTTTTGTTCAATACCCAGAAACTCAGGGGAAAACATAAAAACAATTGTTTTGACATTTATTGAAATTATGAAATTGAAAGAAACTGATATAATTCTGCCTACTTTCATGCAACATGCACAAACAATTCACTTGCACAGTGCATCACAGTTTACAACAGCTGATAGCAAGGCTAAAAGGAAGAGCTATTCACTATTAATAGTTACTATTAATTTGAGGTTAGAGAACAGAACTACTTTTTGTATTCTTGGTATTTAAAGGAACTGTAGTGCTGGACTTATACTCTACTACAGGTGTCTTGGCATTAGTTAAAGATTAGAATAGCCAAATTGTAAGACTGGGAAAATGCAAACATTTCAAAAGAAGTTATTCTAATTACCAAAGAAAATAACTTTAATAAATTCAGTTTAACATCTCTACAACCATTCCTAACAATAACAAATGTGTCCCAAATTATGGAAGTTTTATTAAAAATGCATACGGTAATTATTTTTTTATATTTTACGGCATAGTTTTAAACTCAGTTCTTTTAACTAAAAATTACGGTAAGATTGTAGAAAGTTCCTGAAAATCAACTGATTTACAACTCCATCTTAAAAAAAAAATTTCTTAGCCTCACTCCCACCATCCCCACAAATTTTCTACAAACCTGTTTTTTTCTTACATTTTTTACATCAATTTAATATGAACTTAAGAAATAATAAAAATTTAAACAGTTCAAATAACAAAAACATTTGATGATTTTTCCTCAGCATCAAATTCGAATCCTCAGCATCTCAAGAACATACCTAGTAAATCGCACAACTGTTGATTTTTTTTCTTCAGATTTTTCTATCAGTGGGCTATAATTATAAAATTAAAAACTAATTTTACTCCCCCCCCCCCAATCTTCAAAACCACTTACAACTTTAAATATACTGTGAAAATGACAGCAACAGTTCTGAGTACTTTAGCGTTTGTGAAATATATTTGTATTATTCATTTTCTTTCAAATTCAGATAGTTTCAGTGTTATTCACACCAAAGCTTTTTCTTAAAATTAAGTGGAAATTGTTGAGAAAGCACACAATAATTTAAAACAAACATTAAATGCTGGTATTCGTAAGTGTAAGAACCTAAAGTCTCACAAATCCTACAAGTTTAAAATAGGAAAATTGCTATCACCAATAGTTTGCCAACTTTATATGAAGCCATGTTCATGTTAACACATACTTACAAGGAAAGAGTACAAACCAATATGCAATCAACATATTAGGAACATGTTTAAATAAGTTCATACATGCTTAAATTGGAACAAATTAATAATCTTGCAAGTACTTCGACATGCAGTTCATGCAAAGCATCATGAAAGCAATGAATACTCATGCAAAAGAAAGTTAGAAGAAATATAAGAAGCATCAAAAACAATATCACTCATTAATAATAATCCACAGTAGAAACCTCATACAACTTTGCTTTATGCAATTGCAGCTCACCCCTCGAACATAATGACTTCTTTGAAAGTGCGTATTACCTATTGTGTAATAAACCATAAGCCTTCCATATTTTGAAGCCTATATATAATATTAATAATTATATTGGTAAATTATATATATATAGGATCACTCTTCAATAAATTTATAAATTCTTTCAATAAACCAAAATAATTTAAAGGAATAAAAGAGCCGACTTCCAGTGTTTAAGTCATCATCAGTTAATTAGATCACATTATATCAGACTTCTACTGTGTAACAGAAATAAATATAAACATTGAAAACTCATGCTAACAATTGCTATGGTAATAATCTTCCCCTATCGTCAAACCATAACCATTACTAATTTTATCTATGTTAAAAACAAAATAAAAATTTTCATTTTGATAATTACTATTCACGTGAATGGTAATGATGCTGCTGAATATAAGCAATTTAATAGCAAACAACTTAGAAAACATTCTGCTCGCTACACTTTAAGGCCATTACAATTACAAACTACAAATCTCAGATTCTCTTTGCTTTTACACTGGAGTATACATAATGGCATGTGGAAAGCAGTGTTTTTAATTGTATTGTCAAATCAGCATCAATCTGTTTCCTAATTTACATTAACAACTATTTTGAATAAGAAAAAATAAAAAAAAAGAAAGTCGAATTGAAGAGTACCTTACAACACCTAATACACCAAATGTCTTTATGTTCAAAAATTTTAAAAATTTTGAACCATTTCATTTAAATATTTTGGAAAAGGGAAACATTATAGATAAAACAGTACGCTTATTTATGGAATGTTCATCGTATTTAACAAAACCAACATTGAATTTTCCCCGGGTTCTTCCAAGACTACTACTTTTATCACCAAACTTTAGTGTTCATAGAACGCTGCTATTTATTAACATACCTTCTTGCCAGAAGCAGCACCCACTTTAGCCTTCTTCGTGCCCCGAACCTTCTTCATTCTGTTCTTACGCTCCTTGCGCTGTTTGCGAGTAGCTTTTTGCTTTTCATACAATCCATGCTACAAAACATTGTGAAGTCCATGAGATCAACAGTGTCACAACCATTACTGTGTTTGAAATACAGTATAAGGATACATACCCTCTGTAACCTGTGCTTCGGCTCAAACTTTTTAGCATGGTTTAAAGTGTCGTAAATCAGACCAAATCCGGTGGACTTACCACCTCCAAAAGCTGTACGAAACCCAAATACAAATATCAAATCGTTAGCTACTTTGTATAGTTTCGCCAACTTCTCTCTTATTTCGGTTTTTTTAACCGAAGGCTGACCAGGATGTAACACATCCACAACCTGCAACATTAACACAATAAGTAACATTCAACTGCGATGCCTACACAATACATAATTACTTAAATAACAAACCATTTGCTTCCGGCATAATAACCGGTTCGTCATGAATTTCCGCGTGCGGATGGTGAACGTTCCTTCGCTCTGAAACAAATTAAACGAATATAACCTCACTAACCTATGCACACTGTACTTCTGCACTAGTTTGCACGCATCATCTTTAAAAAACCAAATAGATCATAACACACACATATAAACGCAAAGAGATGACTAATAAATTGTGGAAAACTAATTAATACGAATTTACCACGCTGACTGCGTTCGAACCGATTATCAAATTCAACAAAATTGCTACAATTTTTGACCAAGAAATAAATCAAAATGTGAATTAAAGAGTATCAAAAATATTACGCTCGTCAAAGTAATTAAACTTTCGCTGATTAATTGCATATATCCTGATACAAAAGTCACATTTTCTCATACCATTTTGCCAGCAGCACGAATACACTCTACGAGAAAGGCACCAGCAGAAGTCGTGGAATAGGTGCAAAGACTCTTGCCAAAGAGCAAGCAAGAATAACGACACACCAGCGCCATCTACTTCCTGCGGAAAACGTCATAGCTGTTGAAAATGGCGTTGGTTTCTGGGGAACAAGAATATTCTTCTCCCGCGAAACGCATAAAACTCGACCAGACTCAACACCTATCAAATTCAAATGTGGAACTTGATTTCGGAACTTATTCTGCACCAATTAAGAATGTCCACGAAGTTATAGAAGGTAAGGACGTGAAAAATATGTTCGATTAATTGTGAAACTTTCCAGAACCAAGATGGCGGGTTTAGGGGCGATAGCTCTCTTGTATTTACAGGGGACTGGGGGCGGGGCTGCCATGACAGTAGAAAGGGCGCGTTGGTGACATCTCATGAGAATGAGAGCAATTTATACTTGTACTGACATACCAGCTGGTTTCTTTATGGGTTTTCTTATTGCGAGGTTAACTTGTACCAGTGAACGAGAAAGAAGGAATACATTTCCCCGCGCACTTCACAGCCTGCTTGACATGTGATATTGTACTGGCTCATGTTAGTGCAAGTGTCACGAAACTTACAAATCAGATTGAATAATAAATTCTCCCATGTATATACGATAAATCTGGTTTAAAATCAAACATAGACCAAATTACATTTTCTTGTTAGACTTAAATCATAATATATTGAGTATGGCCAAGCATATTTTAGAAATATGGGTTCAATAACAAGATATGATGTAATTTGTGCCCTTTTATTTCAAAGTAATTACTCATTTTTGTAGGCCAATATTCAGTTACTGCAGAGGTGCTGAGTAGTATAGATTCAGGCTACAATGAAATGTCATCAGCTTCATGCAGCGACAACAGTGGTCAATCAGGATCATCTGGTTTGGAAACTACTGTGTTTTCAAGCCAAAAGGATTCTTCCAATGATGTGTAAGTTATTGTTATAGCAACCCATAGGGATGACAAATTAAGAATTTGAAATGGAAGTGACAAAGTTAATTTCCATTTTTAATACTGTAAACAATTGTTAAAATGACTTCGATAATAATAATGTAATAAAATAATTAAATGCTTTATGAGACAATTAGTAACAAATGCTTGAAGATACAAAACATTCATAGGGTGTATTTGTATTTGCATTTGCATGTTTTCTAAAATTTTGTTGTAAACATCTCTCCTGGACTATAAGAATGATTTATATGAAGAGATCAGTTAATTGCAGGTTTGTATTTATCAACTGAAAATACTATTATCAGCAACAGGTGTTAAATTACGTTCAAACACATCACTTTGTCCCAATGGAGTATAACTGGTGCATTACGAAACAAAAATATTTACCAGGTTACTGATATATATTTACATTTTAATTTGTTTCAAGTATAAAATAACAAATGATGTATAAGAATAGATGTATTTATGACTTTAAACAGAGTGGAAAGCAAGTATTTTTCATAAATATATAATTTGAATTGCATAAATAGTGTTCAATGTGAAAAGTATTCCTGAGAATAGCAGTCGTTCAGTGCAATTTTGTCAAATGTAACTTAAACATATTTCATTGAGTGTTTTTAATGCGTCCTACAACCCCGATTTTTAAATTCCGTTTTACTGCAATTTCCCGGTGCTTTTTGATTGTCTTGGCAGACTTACAAGTTTGAGAAGAACCGGCATGGAAGTTTCGGTGTTGGCGTCGAAAATAGGGTGATGGCTTATACTTATACTGCTTGAATGACGGAGTCACACTGCATATATTTATTTTCTTCGGTTCTGTTGTAAACTCTCCCGCCTGTTGTAGTGCCCATGCGTCACTAGCCGAACGATTGGTATTTCGCGGTTGAGGTGATGGCGCGGGAGAAAAATTGCGTAATAGCGTCGGAGCGCGGGAGATTTCGTATCGAACTCGACGCTGACTAATGTCGGAAGATAATCATACGTGTTGTTGCTTCAGGTCTAGATTCCTTTATCTCTTTGGTTTGATACGGTTAAATACCAAATGTTGGAGTTGCATCTAGGAAAAAACATTAAAAATATATTCTCCGGCTATTACACTAGGGAACAAAAACCATACCTCCAGGATGAAAGCATATGATTTCAAAGGAAACAATCACGCTGATTTCGAAAATCATTGTAAAAAGTTTCTATCACTCAGAGATCAAAACATATGTACATATTTAGTATTTGAAATTAACAAAATCCTATACTAATTTGCGTATTGCCCCTCTGGTTATGTTATTATACAATTTTATGAGCATGCTTCATATGAGGTAAGAACAAGTTAAAAATGGAATACACACATTCATACAACAATATTGAAACACCTTGGAAGCAGAAATTTCTATTGCATTGCTTAGAAATGCTTTACTCCTTGTCACTTGCTCTTGCACTTGCTCTCTGACAAGAAACCAGCAATCTCGAATCATTGCTGGATCCTTATGCCCTTGGTGTCTCTTCTCTGTTGTAGCAAGATTTTGATAAAGCTGTTCATCATTAATATCACCAAAAGTCTGTGGGTAAAAATTAAAATGAAGAAAATGAATTTTCAGAGAAATTCTACACATCTATATTTTTGTACATTTCTAACCATTCTGTGACCAAAGTTTTATAATTGTCTTCTTTCTTTGTCTTGAGAAATGCATGCACAACTCTCTTATAAGATTGCCATGTTGCTAACTCAATGGCTCGCAATTTTTCTTCTAATATTTCATTCAACATGAGTTTTATGATTTGCGGGCCGGTGAAAATTCCTTCCTTCGATTTTGCATAACTCATCCGGAGAATTATTTCACTGCTTTGAAACTATTGTGAAGAATCTATAAACAATTGTCATTCATCCACAATATATTCATTACCCCCTGAATCAAAAAGTACCTTTAAGAGTGGAACATTGGGCAGAAGCCTTACATCTATTTGTGAATTTTTTGTCCTGACTGCAAGTAGTTTCCATTACTTCAATCTGGAACTTAGCTGTTCAGATTTTTTTTTGACTAATTCAGGTCCCATGCCAAATCATTTAAGTCTTCCTTGTCCTGCTCTATAAGTGCAAGCCAGTGTCAGTCAGACTTTCCTGGTAAGTAGTCTGGATTGTTTGAAGTGGAGGCTTCAGTTTCTGAGGGAATCACGACTTCAGTTTCATCACAGTTTTCATGATTTATTGACCTTGTTTTCAGCACTAGTAGTTCATCATTGTGTGACACAGATCGCATGGCAGAAGAATTATTTGGACAATTGATCTGGACAGGTCAGATATCTTTATCTTGAAGTAGTAGTCAAAAAATGCCAAATGGTTTCTTGGCAATCTCCAAAACAGTGGTACACAAATGACAATGACACTACCTAAAGTTCTCTTTGAACTCTTTCGATGTGAAATGACGATTTGCATTTTATCAAACCAATTCAATTCACCAGATCATTAGTGAATTTCACTTTATAAACCTCATAGAACAATAATGTTTTAACGTATTTACACACAAACTTCCGACGCACTGAAGGTACAGTTTCACATGAAACAGACTGACTCAGAATCTGCCACCCTAACAGTTGGATACTTATAGGCTTGTGATAAGGTGAGGGGCTAAAATAATTCCTTTCAGTGACTGATGCACAATAGGAAAAATGAGGATGCACATGGCTTGTTTTCAAAATGTTCATTAAGACTTATTCGTAATTCATCATGACTAACACGAGGATACCACTAAGACCTACTTGTAATTAAGCGTGATTACTCACAACTCAGACATGAGAATAAAGATAAATTGAGAAGAATCACAAAGAATAAAGAGCAATCTTCAAATGCAGAATTTAAAAAAACAAACAAGATTGCTTAATTTTGTTGATTTCTCTTGAAAGTGGCATAGAAGAACTGAAGAAATATTTTATTTTTAAATAAGAGTTTATGCATATTCATTCTACATATCTTATAGGTGCAAATTAAATGTATTTGCATTAATAACAAAATGATATGATATATGGAGTATTTTTAAAAACTGTGACATGATATGACCTTTTAATGGTGATGGTAGACTACATATAAAATTGAGTACGTAGCACACTCTGCCTTTGTGGAGGTAAAAATCTTGTTCTTTTGTGTTATCTTTGAAAGTCAATAATTTATAAAAGATGAATAAAATTATAATGTCTCCTCTTTCCCTAAGTACCCGCATCATATTTATTTTCCCATTTGAAAATTCCACTTAATGTATGTCTCAGCATAGGAAATAATTTTCAGCACATTTAAGGATGAATCTCTTTATTACATGTTCATTTCATCCCAAACTAAAAATGGAAAATAACTTGTCTTCTTTATTGATTTCACATTTCAATTGTATAGACATAAAGAGTGGCAAGCAAAACTCATTGTTTAATATAATGACTATTTCTAGCTGTGGGGATTGTGGAAAAGAAGAGGAAGAAGAAGAAGACGATGATGAAAAAGATGAAGTTTCATCAACAGTGAGCAATCTTTCTAACCTTAGTGGTCTATCTGATTTGAGTGGACAAGAATGGAAACCAATGGCCGGTTAGTAACAATTTAATATTGTCTCATACATTATGTATTCAAACATTTGTTTTATTATTGTGATTATCATTCTTTAAAGGTCCGATGAGTTGGGTGCAGAAACAGAGGCTTATTGGAGTAAACCCTCGAAATATTTTAAGCCAGCTAATGGGTGATAATTCACACATTCCTCCAACAATGGATGATCTTACCCTCTGGAAGATAATAGTCAATATTCTAAGTGAACCACCTAGGCGACAGAAACTTCGACATGTTAATACTCTTTTGGATGTTGTTCGATTACTGAAAGGAGCTAAGAAAATAATTGTTCTCACAGGAGCTGGGGTAAGAGTTTGCTTGACATTTATTATGTCTGGTCTCAGAGTATTTAGTATTAAGTTAGATTTTCACTGCAGAGGTGTTTGGGTTAGTTCCTCTTAAAAAAAAAAACTTACAAAATAATATGGTATAAAACAAGAGAGAAAATATGTGGCCTTTCTAAATCTGCTTCTGGGCAATGATTGAATAAAATCTTCATGTGATCTTTGTATCTGCTCATTTTTATTTAGATTGTAATTTCTTTATTTCAGGTTTCTGTTTCATGTGGAATACCAGATTTTCGCAGCCGTGATGGCATCTATTCTCGCCTTGCCCTTGATTTTCCAGACCTCCCAGACCCACAAGCAATGTTTGATATCCAATATTTTAGTCAGGATCCGCGTCCTTTCTTTAAGTTTGCTCGTGAAATATATCCCGGTCAGTTTAAACCTTCTCCTTGTCACAGGTAAAGAATTTAGTTTCTCTGACTAAAGAAAATGTGATTAAGTTTGTGATTAACTTTGATGTAATGAAAATCATTATTTATTTCAGATTTATAAAAATGTTGGAAAAACACAATAAACTGTTAAGAAACTATTCCCAAAACATTGATACATTGGAACAAGTTGCTGGTATACAAAATGTTATTGAATGCCATGGTAAGTTTTAAAAATATATTAATTTCTAGCACACTTCATTGTTTACTTGAAACTTGTGTTGATAAAATGAATAAATGAGAGCCTAGGCACTCATTTACCAGTAGCCACTTGGCTGTGTGGGAGGTGCAGGAGGTCCTAGGCACAGGAGCTAACATTTCAGCTGTCATTCTGCAACCTTCCTTGCCCTGAGGAAGGTTGCAGAATGGTAGCTGGAAATTAAAAGAATGTGTTAAGAAAAATTCAAACTATCTTTAATTAATTATGGGGAGTAATGAAAGATCTTATAAACAATTTTAAATCATTTTGAGAGAAAAATTTCATTTACTTCGCAGAATGAGTGTAAGTTTAACCATTACTGACCAAAAAAGGCAATTTTGAATTACAATTTTATACTTTTGCTCCAGCAATTTACTCATGACAAGAACAGTGTACTTTTGATCATAATTGCATTTTTTCTCTTTATTTCTATCCATTCTCTGATGTATGAAAGTATGTTGGTTTAAAGACAGTTTGACAAATGTGCATTTTAATAAATTGTGTTTTCTTCACTTAGAGAATATCATAGACAACATACCAACTTATGCAATATTCTTTTGCAAAATAATTGATTGTGGTCCGACAGTAGAGCAGACCCTATGGCCTTATCCTCACCAATAATATAGACTTTTATTATGAATTGTGAAAGATGTTTTAAGATTTACCATTGATAAAGTTAAATGAGTATAGTATTAAATGAGGAGTCAGATGAAAAAATGGCTGAAACCCAAAAACACAGTTTTGAGGAAAATGGGTTAAAAATTTGTAAGAAAGTTCATCCTGAATGTACCAATACTGATAGCAGAGAAGTGTAAATGCAACATTTTATGGTGTACCAGTGATTAAGAGGGTGCTAGTTTGATCCCAGTTGCCAGAGATCTGCCTGATGTATTTAACAGTAGGCAAATTAAGTGTGAGAGTGTGTCACCTGCTAGTGCCGAGGTTATAGGCTGACTGTTCTGATAAGTGGTTTTCCTGATCACGTCCAGGCAAATGCCAGAACAGCATCACAGAATAGAGGCAATGGATCACCTGTAATTCTTTCTTTCCTACCTTTTCGGATTCCCATCTTTATATGATGGATTGATCACATATCTTCATTTGGCCCATCCCTCTTACAAGCACCTGAGGCAATCGTGCCCTGAACGGGGTTGAAGAACCAAAAAAGATGCATTTCTATCCTAAATATAACAATGTACACACCGATTTAAATAGAATGACTTCTGACAGATCATCAGCTGTTGTGTGGCAATCAAATTTAAGTTGTAACGAAGCTTTGAATTTGATAACCATGTCCAGCTGATTTGTCAGAAGTCACTCTATTTAAATCAAATTATACATGACAGTATGTCGTAAGCTACTTTTCCGTATGCAGTAAAACCTCTCCACAAGACCACCCCCTTTTTGTAACAAATTTTCTATTGACTGGAATAATTATTCCTTAAGACCAATGTATTTTTACTCCCTTAAAGACTACCACTCCTCTTCCAGACCATAGGCCACAAACTTTTGTCATAATATAACATTCTATTCCCTTTAAGACAACCAGAAAATCTTGCATTGAAATAATAAACCTGAGGATTCACATACCATTTCCAGTGTCAGCCATGCCATTTCCAGTGTCAGCCATCGCCAACAGCGATAGGGTGCATGCGATTTCACGATAACTCCAAAGGGGAGACCTGTCAGAAAATATAGAGAAACTATCGTGTTATAAAGTTGAAAGATAATTTCACAGAAGCAAAATAATACCCCTGGATTAAATCAGGAAACCACATTATGTCAATAACTTATTATCTGAAGATGGACAATTCTTTAAGAACACTGTACTATTATTTTTATAATCATATTAATTAATACAGTTGATCAAATAATTTAATGATTCATTTGAAATCAGAACATTGTTACGATGCCTATTGAAGTAGTCACAGCAGCAATGGAGAGTACAGTTTAATAGTGCTTGAGTTTCCTTAAAGAAGATCACCCCCTCTAAAGGACCAATTTTAAAGTATTAATCACATGGTCAGCTTAGAGAGGTTTCACAGTAATTGATTATTTTCTGGAACTAAATTTTTAAACTTGTTACATAACACACACATTTCAGTTAGACTTAGAAATAAATTACATATATTCTTTATGTGTATTTTATAAAAGAAATTGATACTAAACTGAATAGGATTAAAAACTAGTTTTCAGGATAAGCTTCTTCCTTGTCTCACATTATTTAATCCAATACAATAATTATGGAAATGGCACTGAAGTGGTTCATTTCAAATTTTACATATGGAACAATGGCTTCTGCACAAATTTAGGTTTTCCACATTTTAATGTCATTTATTTGCATTGATAGTAAGAAAAGTACTGGGGCTAAAATAGCAAGTACTTTCTAGCCTTTAGTAACAGTTATGCAATACTTTTTGTACCAAATAATTATGTAATACACTTTTTTTAATAAGTTACAAAAGTTAATTAAACTTTAACCATTTGAAATTTTAGCTATTCCTTTTCCTTTACATTAAGCCTTTGGGATATTTAAAAACAAAAAATAGCTCTATTTTTTATTAAATTTTGTTGTTTGATAGTATGAAGGTCATTCATGTTAATGGTGCAAGTCTCATGTTCATTGAAAACCTTGATTTTTTGAAGGTTGCAAATTCAAAACTTTTTCTACATTCTAATTTCTATCCAGCAAAATTTATATTTGTAATATATTCTTCAAATTTCAGCCAATATGAAGGGTACGATTTCTAGGAGTGAGGATCTTTCCATTGCTCCCAGTACACTGAGAGAAGTGTAGAAACTCGATGAAAAGAACTTGTCGCTCATTTTAAATAAAGCATGCTATGCGCACGGCGGTGCTGACTTGCAAGTTTCCGTCCTGATCCTATAAAAAACACTTCGTCAGCCTTTGGGCTAACTACGTCGTGATAAAATGATATCTAAAATATGTCTAACACAAAGAAATGGAATTTCCTTTTAAAACGACTGATTTTTCAAACAAATCAGACAATAAACTCCTAGTTTGGCAAATGTATAAAACCTACAAAGGAAAACAGTCATTAAATTGCCATGGATCAACATGTCAATGTATTTAAAATACAAATATTTAAATACTGCCCAATCCTGCTCATTACAAATCGTACAACCTTTGGTGTAAAAACTCAATATTTTCAAGCAAATATCAACACAACAACAATTATAACTGCTATTCATACAGGTAAATCATGTCCCAACAATAAGCCGCAAGTCATTCTAGCATTCCAATCTGTTATTCCTTGAAAGCTAGAAGTTTTTCAAATAGGTTTTAAATAATTTCTAAAAGATTAATGTGTAAATATATAACAAAGGTCGAATGTAAGAAATGAACAAAACAATGTTAAATAATATACACATTCTGACTTGCAAAGCATCCAAGTAAGTTTGTAAGAAAAAGTAGCTTTAAGGAAATAAAAATTGCCTATGTTAAACCAAAATTTCCTAAACCCAGGGTAGGCCATTCTTCTATTCAACTGCTCAGTTGTGAAAGTACTATGTACAATGTACAACCCCCACTTTTTACAGTTATCAGGAGTCTCATAGTAACTAATACTACAACAGCGCATACAGTCTCACATTTGTAATTTTTGCAATTTTTGAAAATTCAGAGTCCTAGAAAGTGAGACCTGCATTATTTCCTTAACCATACATTGCTCTATTTGAGAAAAAAATTGGTGTTGTTTTGAGGGTGGGTTGTTGTTGATGTTAGTGTTGGTTTTTGTTTTCTACAAGCAAAAATTATGTGAAACATACTCATATTTTCAAAAAATTTTGTTATGGCCTTATTATAGATCAAATTGTTTGGAATAGATACCAAGAAAAAAAATCTCTATCATCAATTGTGGCAATTTTCTAAATTACAAGATCACTGAAAATGGGGTCTGCATAATTTTTGCGCACTATGCTTTATTCAAGAAGAATTAAGAAAAAAAATTGGAGCTGTTTGGAGCTTCTCATTTAGTTCCTCTTTCATCAGTTTTTTCCTGCATTCATTCATCATTTTTTCCATTTTCTTTATATAATTTTGAACAGACTTGTTGCTAGGGATGTAATAAGAGTAGCAATCACAATTTGTTTGAGATCCCTTATGTGTTAATTTATCACCATTCTCTTGAAACTGAATATTTTGTTTAAGTGTTGTTACATAATTCAAATAAGTTTTCTCATGAATTCATTTTATCCTCATTGTGTCTAAATTTTAAGATTGAAATTTTATCAGCACAGGGGGGAAATATTCCAATTTAATTCCAACATAAATTGGGGAACAGTCTCTTTACGTTAAAATCGCAAGACTGTTTGATTGTTGCTTCATTTATGTCTCCAAGGCTATCCGTGATTGTAAATTTTTATGTCGTTTAAGTTCCAAGGTTTTAGATTGTTTGAGAAGGAGAGAGGCAATTTCAAGATTTAATTTTCATGTAATGATGATAAAACATTAACATGTACAATTTTTTCAGGGTCTTTTGCTACAGCTTCTTGCACGCGATGCAAATATAAAGTAACAGCTGATGCAATTAGAGATGATATTTTCGCTCAGAAGATACCTTTGTGTCCACGGTGCTCAAACAATGCAACTTCTCACACAATTGACAATGAACGTTACTCAGATGATTATAAAGGTAAGGATTTTATGTTGTTAAATCAAAACAGTTCATCAGTACCAAGCAAAACTTTCATGCACATAGTTCTTAAAGATGGAAGTTTTTTTTAGCTATATGCAAACAAATAATTATTCACAATGTGAAAAAATCAAAGTATTTAGATCCTCACTGACAAACATCATTTTTACAGAACTTGTTAAACAAGGGATTATGAAACCAGATATAGTCTTCTTTGGAGAAGGATTACCATACCAGTTTCATGAATCTATGGCAGTGGACAAAGATAAGTGTGACTTGCTAATTGTCATTGGCTCATCCTTAAAAGTCAGGCCAGTTGCTCTTATTCCAAGTAAGTCATTACCTGATGAAGATAATGCAATTGTTATGTAGCGCAATTGAATATTTTTTTTTACCACAAACTAATTTTGCAGGTTCAGTTCCATCAAGTGTTCCACAAATTTTGATTAATCGTGAACCTCTACCACACTTCAATTTTGATGTAAAATTGCTTGGAGACAGTGATGTGATTATAAATCAACTCTGTCACATGTACGTATTGTTTTATTTCACAATTACTTTGAATAATGTGTATCTGGTACTAGATTTTAATACAGGGTCCCATTATTTTTTTGACAATTGTGAATTTAGTAAAAGCAGTGATTTTTGTTTGGGGGCATGGATTCTGTGGGGAAAGTTGCGTAGTATTTTATTTATATGATAACAAGGAAGTCTTTGTTATGAGAAGAGGGTGACATTTCCTCGCATATTGATATTTTCAGAACTATTACATTTGTATTGATGGATTATTTATGAAGGAAAATATTAAGTTATCTTTTTTAAATAATCATATTAAACCTGCTTGCATGCATGCAAATATGTAGTAATAGTAATTAAAACAAAATGATCTACTACGTAGTGGGTAATTAAAACAAAATTAAATAATGTCATTCAGCAAAATAGTTTTAACAGAAAATAATTGTTTTATATAGTGTGTTTTCAAGTAATATGTACTGCATAAAAATATTTAAGAATGTAAAAAAATATTAGGAATTTTAAGAATGTTTGTGTTCATTTCGGGGAAAATGAACAAGATTTTTTGTTATTCATAGGTTGGGTGATGATTGGTCTGAAGCATGCTGGTGCCCTGAACCTTTAGTTGAGGCAAAACATTTGTTGCCTTCTATCCATAGTCGACGGAGCAGCTATGACAACACTTGGAATGGGCGACATAAGATTACGGGACAAAGCAGTTCTAAATCTACAGTCGATCGGGGGCCCAGAAGTAAATTGAATATTGAACCACCAGGTCAAGCTGCATCTATTTCCTCAACTGCTGCTGGTGTCATGAATAGAGATATTGTAACAGATGGAAACTATAGTCCATACACAGGAGACCATGGTTCAAATGTTGAAAGCAGTGAAGCTGATTCCTTGCAAATGTCAATAGATAGTGGAATGGGAATGTCTGCAGATAGTAGCTCTAGTGGAATGAAAGAAAGACACATGTCAGTTGATTCATCTACACGGGACAGTGGAGTATGTTGTTCTGCTGACAGCCCCGTTGACAATAGGAACTTTTCCATGATCGATTCATCCAAAGAATGCAGTCAGGAAAGTACAGACCTGTATGACAGTACAGTACAAAGAGAGATCCGGTGCATGCCATGTGGAGTAAGTAGTTGTAGCAGCAACAGGAACAATAGAGATAAAGACTCTCATGTTGATAGCAGTTTGAAGCAGTCTCCCGCTGACAGTACATCTCAAGGAAAGCAATACACAGTTCTTATTGATTCTACATCAATGCTTCAAGAGGCAGAACCAGAGCACAATGAATGTTGTCATTCACCAAAGGATTCAATATCAATACATCCTGCTTCTGCAGATAGCACTTTTGGAAATGGAAGAGTAACCTCTTCATCTGTATCTGTTTGTGCTTCTGTCAACAATCGACAATTGTCTGTTGACTCTATGAGAGATAGTGGGATTGGTGATGGAACCAATAGTGTGGACAGCTCAGCAAGCTGCGGTGCATCTCCTACGGCCTCCAAAGAACATCACATGTCAGTTGATTCAAGTGATGAAGCACCAAAATGCGAAGATGATATTGAAGCACTTAGAGCTTGTTGGCAGCCCAAAATTAGAGAAAGTTTAGCTTCTCGATTACCTGGTAAGTACTAATCATTTTTCTGTAAAATCTCTTTCTGTGAACAGTAATCACTTCCGAGATAGTTTTATTTGAGTGTTGTTTTTATAACAAAAGAACATCCTTAGGCTGAAAGTTAACCTTTATGTTCTATGATCTTCTTACAGTAAAATCTCTCTAAACCCGAAACCGTTGCAAACCGGAAACCTGCTTTAAACAGAAAATTTCTCCAGCTCGAAGTTAAATGTTATTTTACACAGTATAAAACAGTACCTGACCAACACAGAAACAGAGTTTTTCACGTGTTTCTGGGGGAAAAAACCCTTTATAAATCAGAATTCCTGTGAAATTATTGCAAATGGCAGAGGAACAAGATACATTTTTAATGAAATGAATGCATCTGCAAGCCTGTTTTAACATCTGTATCCCTTAGGCACGTGATTTAGTCGTGGCAGCCACACATTGAAGGAGGTGGGCTCCAGCTGTCAGCGTAGAGTTCAACCTTGGGGTTACTTGTATCTCAAGGCATAGGAGTAGGAGAATTCTCTCTCCCCCAACTCTGAGCATGGGCAGGTGTAGAGCAATGTCTTCTATTCACGCATCTTCCTTCCTCACATTCAAAATCATAACCCCTCAACCAGATAAGCATTGATCGAAGCCATACGAGGGTATCAGAAAGTCATAGTTCTCTGGGTTGTGGTGCATGTTTGAAAGAGTCTGCAAGCAGTCCGAATGCACCAGAAGAGGTGGCTCAGGGCATGAACTGACGTCACTGAAGTGCCTCTGACCAGGAGATCCTAGGTTCAAGTCCAGATGCTGTAAGGATTTTCGAAAATAGCTTTATAGCTAGGTTGGATTTAGTGACTGTCTGGAGGAGAATCCTAGCGACCAGCTGCTCTGCTCAATAGTTTTTCATGGTTTCTTCGAACAATACCAGATGAATGCCGGAGCAGTACCCTAACAAACAGGCTACAGACCATGCACAACCTTTCCTTCCTCTTCTTTATCCTATCCTTACCCCTTACTTTCATGCACTTTGCTACCACACCAGCCTAGAGGCCGGTCCGGAGCATAGAGCTAATCCCAGCGGGGCAGTGCTCTGCTGGTGAGAAATACCTGGTTGGGGAAAATCCCGCTAGTCAATGGTAGATTGGGGCCGGGTCTCACCGAGAGCGAAGTTCCCCCTCCCCTGCCCTGGGAGAAACAAGTATGCACTACACTTACAGGACTAATGACCTTAGCTGTTGAAATGTCCAGAATCACTAATTAATCAATATCTACATGCAACCACTAACCAGTTTAAGAATAACTGGAAACATAATAAAATTCCTAATAAAATAACCTTTCGATGAAAAGGTCAAACTTATAGAAGCAAGAGAAACAGAAGCTTTCAATGAAGAATGTTAAATATTAATTTATTGGTGATTTTTTCCATAAATACATTGTATGTAAATGTGTTTTAATAATTATATTTAAGTCATATAATTTATTACTTTCAGGGCAGAAATATCAATAATACAAGTGTCATAAAATGGACAACCTTGCAAAAAAACTTAAACTTCTCTAAACTGACTTTTTTTTGTCCCGATCTATTCCATCTCGGTCAGATTTTACTGTTGAACCTTATCTTTTCTTCAAGTCAAATCTATATTTTAATGGAATCTTTGGTTTATATGAACTGTTAGTGCCCGGCATGTGCCTTACAGACACTTGATGATTTCAACAAGCTATAGTGGCAACTCTGATTCTGGGACTTGCTTACTTCAATAACTTTTACTCAGGGAAGAGGCCTATTAGGTTAACTCAATTCCAGCCATCTCTAGATCATCACTTCACCCTTTTAAACATTAAGTGTGGTGCCAGTGTAGCAAGTGATATTTTCTATATCCACTATCACTCCTAGTGTTTCACAAGCTTGATGTCGGCTGAATATATTATTATTATTTATTATTATTATTATTATTATTATTATTATTATTATTAGTGTTATTATTATTGATGAAATGTTATTTATTTCATATGTTGATGTTGTTTTTGGATAATTTGGTACTGATTTCCAATTAATGTTTCCTAATTGTTATTTGTAAGGAGAAACATAACTGCGGATGTACATATTTATCATATGTTAAAGTTCTTTTGTATTCTTATGACTTATAATTTCAATAAAGATTAAAGAATAAAACTACAACAATTGGTACTGCTAATATGATAATTGTGTGATAGTCCAAAAAGTTTAGTAATTTTTTATTTCTCTATAAAAATGTTGAGGATCTGTGAAGCATTTTCATACGAATTTGTTAGGTCACTTCGTTTTTATTTACACAATAAATTTGAAGACTGTGAAGCAAAATTTCAGCAAATTGACAAGAAAGTATGTTTTCAACTAACAACAAAAGTGATTTCTGCAACCATTTTGATCATTACTAGGCTATGAAAATTAGTATTTTAAATGTCAAAATGCTAGTGCATCACAGATATCAGGTTAGCACCATAAAGGGGTCCTTCCAAACAAGTGACATCGAGCACCAAAGGTTAAAGATAGTGGAGAATCTTTTTGAAATAATAAATGTTATAAGTAAGCTGCAGATTTTTGCCGATGTATTAGGAAAACTCAATATTTTTAGGTTACTTCATTTTAGGGCATTGGGATTATTATATTAGAATTATACAGTGCCTTTAAAGGCCAATTTTGTGTTTAAATACCTGAATGTTGCGTTTCCTTGTATATATTGATATTGTATTTATTAATCAAAAATTTTAAAAAATGTACTTTTTCCCCCTGCAGATTACAGAGAAATTAAACAGCTATTGATATATCTATGTTCAGTTTTAATGAACTATTAAGCGATTGATTGTAAATGCATTTGGTATGAGGTATTATCACACAATTACTTGGTAGTTACCAGTTAGAGAAGGTAAAGAATTTGCCAGTGTTTGTAACGTCTGGATATTGTCAGGGAATTTCCTTTTTGCCTAGGCTCATTTACTTTCAAATAGTGTTTTTCAATATACCTACTGTGTTTGTATTACAGTTATTTTATAATCTTGCATTGGTCTTGATTGGAAAAGGCACAAAAAGATCTAAAAGGCCTAAATCTTGTACCCACTTTCCATGTATTTTCCTTAAAGAACCCATGTTTAATTAAGATTTGAACAGTAAATATATTAAAACTGTTTTTACTGTTAAAATGTGAATTCAGTGAGTTTGTTGATACACTGTTTCTTACCCAATAACATAATTGCATGGAATGATATGCAAACATTTTAACTTTCCTGTGGGATTGTTGAAGGGCTGAGAAAAGTAAGGGAAAATATTAAGGAATTAGCTTTATTAAGTACGAATGTGTATCAAAAAATTATAAAAGTTAAACAAAGCCATTATATTACTTATTTGTGGTTCCTGGATTGTAATCATGAGCCTTATTGTCAGCCAATGTTGCCCATCTTAACTAATAGGCCAAAAAGCCTTTGAGAGGAATAGTTGTGAAGAGACTATTTTTTTTAATAGTGAAGAAAAATAAATCAAGCTACATTTTTCCTAATTAAAATAAATTAGATATTGTCGAAACATGATGAAATTCAACAAAAAATTAAAAGGATTTGTTATATTAGTTTTTTGCTGTACAATTACACAATAAACATTTAATTACCGAGTTGACGATCTCAGCAAACATGAACACCTAACTTCCTGCAAAATTTCTGACAAAAATTTTGTCATGTCTAATAAATATTTTAATTCTAAATATTGCCTCTCTAATTTGATTGTATCTTAATTTCTCAACACCAGAAATTGTACTTTTTGAAGGGGAGTCTGTCTTTCAATTTGGAGAAATTCATTTATCTTTGATTCATTAAATATAACTACACCTTTTATCTTATCTGAACACCTGTATATACTGTTCGCTTAGGTGATCGAAGTAGATAAAATGGTTATTACTTTGTCTGTTGTGAAGTAAAGGTTGCCTAGTATCAGTTTGGTAAATAATGTGGTGCATACAAAGAATTGCTTTATTAACAGATAAACCTATTTATTATTATTATATTATTTTCTTCATCTTCTTCCTCGACAGTCTTATGTCTTTAATACTAATACTTTCGTGGATTTTTTTAGTAGTCTCCGTTGCACATCATTAGCTTACTGCTACAACTACTCAGTGCAAATGTAGCACACCACAGGATTGCTATCACCGAACTCAGTATTCATATCATATACCATCATAGCTATTAATCATGTTGATATTTTGCCAAAAAAAAATAGGTGAAAATCTTAAAAAGGCAATTGGATAAAATGTTGCGTATTATGCTGGGTAATAGGCCATTATGCACAAGTTGTTTTGCGCAAGCGCTTGAATGTGGGTTTTGAATTTTTTAATGCTATGTATATTTCTTACTCTTTTACCTAACTTCTTTTTGCCCTTCTTACTCTCCTATTGCATTTGTGAATTACTGTATTTGATGATCACACTTTAAATGTTTTTGAATTTGTTCCTATTGCAGAGGACTCGTATTATTTTATGCAGCCAAATACCTACATCTTTCCGGGAGCTGAAGTTTTTTATGATCCTGATGACACAGAACACTCTGTGTATAGTGGTAGTGGCAGCAGTAGTAGTGACTCAAGTGATTCTGGAAGTAATGCCTCCGATGATAGTGACGGTGAGGATGCAGAGGCTGATCCGTGGGATTCAACAGCTACTCCAGGCGAGAAAGTTACCATGGGAAGGAGTCCTTGATGCAGGCCTGGAAGAGGTAGACATTAATTACACATGAATGATTCTTGAAGCAATATTATTGCTTTCTGATGTTACACCTGGCAGAGTTTACAGAGAGTGCTCTTGTATTCTTCCTTAAGAGCTATGACTCACGTTTGGTTAGTGCATGTTTTCATTATTATATGTTACCCGTAATTGTTGCAGGTAAAAGGAACAACTTTTATATAGTTTTTTGTTTATTGTTGGAATGTCAATAACTGAATTTGTATGTATGAGTGTGTGTGTGTGTAAAAGTGAACATTACAGCATTGACTGAGATACTTGTAAAGTAAACAATTTTTGACCTAGATTTTTGTTATTGTTTTGTTAAGATAGTGGGACATCAGTCTTCTGAGTTCGTTTTTTTTTAAAATTGGTGTGAATTGTACAAGCTACCTCTGTTTTCATTCTCTTATTTTATTGTACATGTTTTTTATAATATTCTTGGTATGAATTTAGTGACTTAAATGTATGCTGCTGATAAGGAAAAAAGTTTAGTTTAGCAATGAAAAACTTCGACATTGCAATGCACAGTGTGTGTATATGCTAAAAAAGTTATGTTTAAGAGAATTTGCCAGGTGTAACATTGTTTACTAACAGCATTCTCCAGATATATCTATATATGCTGTTTGTTGAGAAATTATATTTGATTTACATTGAATTCTTATATGTGGTATTCATTGGATGATGGCAATAAGTTGCTATGTAGGTTGATTAATAAATCTTGTAAATGATAAAGTGTAAGATTTTTGAGTCAGGTATTCAAATTATTTCCTTTATATACATTAAGTTAATCAGGAAAATGCTGTTATACAATTGATTGTGACTGTCATATTTCGAACATTTGTCTATTTTCATTCAGAAGAGATTTTTTAAACATTTTATACACGTTTGCCCCTACCACGAGGTTGTGAACTCTTTTCAATTTAGGAGAAGAAACATGTCCCCAGTACATTCACATAGACTTACATTGCGGTTCAGCCTTATGTAATTGGTACTGAAACAAGATAATTAAGCATGTGTTCCTGATTGAATTAATATTTATATCTAAAGGTTTTTAAAATAAAACATAACACTGGAGATGGGTTTGTTGTCTCCTTTAGATAATGTAGTGTGTTAATTTTGATTTGATTGTCTTTTATTGGAAGACATAAATTTTATTATAATTTTCATATTAATTATCTATATTGTCATGATTTTCAGGATTTCTCACTGCTAATTTTTCATTGATTTTAAATCCAAACATACAAGCCAACAGTCTGTACCTCATAAGTCTATGTTCTTAGTGCTTAGGAAGTTTCTTCCACAGAAAGGAGAAAAAATTGTTTGACATATGGCAACCACTATTCAATGTGTCTTGAATTGCAGCTACACTCATCTAGTGTTTGCTAATCTTCGATCTGGTTTGCTGAAACATTATTGTATAATGATTCAGGTGTGAATTTGCAAGCAATTTACTAATTATTCTTGTTTAAAATGTTACTCATGTTGGATGGAGATGTTCTTTATTGTACCCATGAGCACAGCAAAATGTACAAAACTGAATTGCAGGGCTTGTTCTTTATTAAAAATGACTATAAAATTATTTCATTTGTTACGTAGTATGTCACAATAATGTCTGGTTGTGTAAAAAAAATTTACGCGATATTAGAATTTATTTTTTAAGTTCATCTCTTAGAAGTCTGCATGTGTGTTCAAAATTAGAAAAATTGTCACGTCAAAGCAGAATGAAAGGGGAAGTGCTTTAGAATATGTAAATATTTATTAGTTACTTGTCTTTGTAGAGCATACATTTTTGTCTGCATATTTTCTTCAGATATAACAAGTATATGTAAGTGTTAATTGAATTTCCTACTATAACTCCCATGTCTTTGTGCTGTTGTCTTTTTTTAAAGACTTGATCTCACATCTTACAAAACCTAGTTGTTGGAATTGATGTAATGTGCAATTGCAATTTGTTATGTAGCTTCAGTGTAAAAATGACGCTGATTGTGTTCAGCACGCAAATCTATGACAGACTTTTTGATAATTTAAGTGTTTTTTGCTATTTAATTTATGCCTATTTTTTTCCATTTGCACTTATATTATTTTTTATGATTGTTTACATTTACTGTCATGCTTATCTCCCAGTTTCTATCTTGAGAATGTATATTTGACAGGCCTTCCTTTTGTTGGTGCTTCCTTCCTGCACTTTAGAGGCATGAATATATGGTAAACGTCAAAACAAAGAATGGCCTGTAAGTGGAAAACTTCCTTAGCCCAGATTGGAGGAACACATTACAGAACATTTTATTTAGCGTAGAGGGTAATTAAACAGTAGTGACTCTGTAGCTGAAAAATTTCTGTAGTTAATACATTGCTACCTAATGCTTTACAGTAAACAAGTGATTATCGATTATCAGTACTATTCAGAACGAATTAGAGCAAAACATGTAATTTTATATATTGTATGGAACAATGGAACATTTTACTAATTTACAAGTGTTTTATCAACTTGTGGATAAGCAGTTTCCTGGATACACTTAATTTCATTGAATATATTTTCTCTGAGCAGAAGCTAAAAATACTCTTTCTGGTAATACAAATCACCAGATATTACACAATTCTGTGTCAAGAAGAGTTGCACTTAAGATGTTCTTGAACTAATATGAACATGTGTGCATTGAAACTGAGCAATCTCCTGATAGTTATTTTTCAATTATCTTTGTCAGAAAATTTGACTGGGGAGTTACACTGTAAAATTCATGTGTTAAATTAAAACACTTCAGTAAATGGCTTATTATTAGATAAAACCTCTCCATGATGAATGAAATTTATGTGATAGTATAAATTAACAAAACTGTTGTCAAAGTATGTGACAGATACTTTTTGACAGTGGTCTAAAAAATTTGCAGTATATTGTGCATTTCATCATTTAAATTTATTTGGTAAGTTCAGTGAATTTTAAAGGCAGAAACTTCCCACAGCAATAAGCAGGATAATGAAGAGTAATATTTTGGGGGAATTTGTCAATGCATTTTTGATATTCAAGTCGTCCATAGAGTTTTATTTTGTGTCTGACTGTTGAAAGAAACTTGTTAAGGGGTTAAGACAAACTGTTTTATATGTAAAAAAAAAGTAGAAGAAGAAAAAAAAAACGAAAAATTGTACAGTTGTGTTTTAGAAGGGTATGTATATTGATTTTAAACTAAGGAAATTTTTATCAATGTGTATATATTTAGTTATAGGTTCATGTGTCCTGAAGCAATCTAGAGGTCTTGTGCATTTAATTCCAATTATATTAATCTTAATTTGCCCTAAAGTCAGCAGAGTGTTTATTAATGAAATAATTGTGATTTTATAAATCAGTGTTTACAATTAATATTATGCTGATTTATTCATAGCTAGAAATTTGTTTGCCTCTAGCTTGCTACAAAGAAACCAAAAAAAGTAAACAGATATTATAGGATTCTTTAAGAAATGTGCATTTTCTGATTTTATTTTTTCATACATAGTGTTAATTGTAAAGGTAATATTTAATTTATCCAAATTTGTTGTTTTATTTTAAAGAATCACAAGTAAGTGATTGTGTACATGTGTGTGCCTGTGAGTGTGTGTATGTATGTACGTACTTCTTTTGTATTTGTGCTCTGACACATTCAGTTGGTTGTTAACTTATTCATAATGTGACTTTTCAATGGTGAAGTATGGTACTTGTAGTAGCTTTCGTACTGTTTAATTTACTTTGTTTCAAGGAAAGAAACCTTATATTAAAGTAGTCACTATTTTTACCTATATTCTTGTGGTGAACTTATTTTATAATACAACACCTAGAAAATAAAAATGAACATGTATTTTTATTTCAGTGTTAAATACATGTTAAAATATTTGCTCTAACATAATTCTAAATGATAGTTCCTGTCACTAATTACTTGAAAGCTTAATGTCTTCTTATAAACTGAGCCAGTTTTTGTTTGTTTTGTTGTTGTTGTCTTTTTTTCAATTTTAAATGGTGATTTTAAGAACAACATAATAACTTATTTAAAATACAAATGTAATAAAATTTATGATTACCTTTCTTACCTACATCTTTACCTCTTTTCAATAAAGATTGTTTTTATCTTATAACTTCTATATTTGGCAGAAGATATGTTGAATGGACAACTCTAGGACAAAAATGATGATTTATATTGTCACTACAATGTGTATAACTTTGGCATTACATTAGGGGAAATGTCTTTTAAAATTTAAATATTTTCACAAAATGTGGAAAAACATTTAATACAGAAGGACAAAAGTAAGTTTTAATGTGCAGCTGTTGTTGATAATTGTTTTGGAAATTAAAGATTTTCTTAAATTTAATTCTCATTAAACAATTATTTTGGAGAGAGAAAAAACACAAACAAACGACAGAACGAACAAACTAGAAGAAATGTTTCAGTATGTTGTCATTATGACAGTATCTCTTCAATACAGATCATAACCACCAGTTAGATCATATTACCAATGAACTTACTGATAAAACAGTTATCAATTGAACACTTATGGTAAGTCTGGAATTTTTTAATTTTCAGATGTGAATTAATGAGAATGGTGAAAATAGTTTAAGTGCTTGTTTGAGGATTCATGTTACTTTGAATAGTCTGCCTTCCGGCATATTTTCAGAAAATACAAATTCACGCCATTCATCTCAAATTCTTGATTTTGACCACCTCAGTTACTTATTGAATCAAATTATGTAATGCATATCTATGCATATGTGAAGAAAACAACTAAAATTCTCTTGAGATTAGCAGTTTTTAAAAACATGCTATTGAGACCACCAAGCATCAGCCAAACAAACAGCTTGAACAGTTGAATGTTAACCAATATTGCAACCTGTTAAGATTAAACACCTTAAGATACTCAAATCAATGCAAATATGCTCTCTGAACCTCACTTTCAACTCCACAAACAATTTTAAATAAGGCAGACTTTCAATTGAAAAGTTATGAGGAACTATCCCCCTCCCCATCTTTGTGAAATTATTTTTACATAATTTGAATACTATTCAATTACACAATTCAATACTAATGTTTGAATAATTCGTTTAAGTTTTCATACTTATATCTTCTAAATTACTCTAAAAAATTTTTTCAATTTGCAGCATTTTTAACAGAAGATTTTAGTAACGAGTTGCTTGTTTACTAAACTATTTGTTCAGATTTACTCACTGTGTGATCTTTATTTAAATCACATTAATTATCGGTACGTATTTATGGTAGACAATTTTGTCATAACCCAACATTCATGGGAAAGAAAACTTAATTATTACCATTTCAGATTTTTTTTATCTTCCAAGGAAGAAATAGATACTATTCACAGTCATGTTGTATTGACAGAGACATATCTGCGGTATGGCAAACGGAGCAATTGCCTTGGGTGCTACTTAGAGTATACTTGCTAAAACTGGTAACAACCACCCTAATTTGATGTATCATGATGAGCGCAAATTGTATGCTTGTCATGAGCACCTGAATACCTTGATATGCTTCTGCCTATGGCAAACTCATAACAGCTTAAGGTTATAAAGAATTAGTATAAAAAATTATACTAAAAGAAAGTAAAATAGAAATAAAAACTTTTAGAAACATCTCCAGAAGTCGCTAGGGATTGTACCTTTAATTACAAAACAAACGCTATAAATGATTATGAACCATACTGATTTTAACATTTTAATTAAATTTGGAGTTCACTTTTACTTGTCTTAATTTTACACAGTATTTCTTTCACATGCTGAAAGGAATTTCTTTGAACATATTATCTTTTATTCGTTGAATGTTCCAGAAGGAAGAGATGATAATCAAAAAAGGCAGTGTTGCTTATTGGATACAAAGGGGAAATCATAACCAAAAAACAGGTTATGAGTTTCAAATAATGAAATTTTATGGTTGGAAGTTGAAACCCCTTCAGGAAATATGTTAGTTGGATAAATCAAAATACTTAACAAAACCAATCATTTTCTATTTTTCATTAAGCCATTTGTAGCCGATTATTTTAAATCAATCCTTTAATAATATGGATGTTGTGTGTGATTTCATTCTTAAAATTGTGTACCAATTGTTTAACTTTAACAAAAGAAATGAAGAAGCAACCTGTAAACAATGTTGTTCTAGTAGAATAGTGTGCAGGTGTAAATTACATAAAGTTATTTATTTTCATTTCTTCAATGAGTGGGATAAAAAATAATAATAACTAATTAACAGTTCTACTTAAAGTGAAAAATAATGTACTTTATCACCATCATGAATGAATTTAATCCCAATGTAATTTTGCAAGAATTACAGCATGACTGCATGAAAATGGCCATATTTTCCAATGCTATTTTAGTGAATCGGTAAAGGAGAAATAATTCAGCAATTTATGCAAAGAGGTTGAGGAAGTCTTTAACAGAGATCCCATGGGGAAAGATAAGTGAAACATGTTGATTAAGATGGGAGTGGTAACTGCATCTTAATGAAGGATGAAAGTTAAAGATATCAAGCATCGGTTTAACAATAAAAATTAACAACAAAATCTTATGAATTAAAAAAACCAAGTTGGGACCAAACAACTTCTCATATTTGGGTTTTTAAATTAACAAAAAATTATGTAAATCTTGTAAGTAAACATCAACATAGTCAAATTATGAAAATAAAAGAATTATAATCACTATTTTACCTAAAAGGCAAATTTTTCACTGAATATTAAGCACAGACACAAAATAACATTTGGTATGCACTTAGAAGTTGACTTGCATTTTAACAATCCTATTATTGAGCTATTTCCATTTGGTACCCACTGGAAAATAAAAGTAGCCCTATATTATGTTAACTTACACATTTCTAGCACAAAACTTGGCAATTAACAAACGTTTCAATAAACTATAAGGATGTAAATTTGCCACATTTCCTTACCTACTTACCTTTCCTTAACTTTACAAGTTGTAAATCAATTAATATATTCACAAGATATTAAAATATTTAAATTTTTATCATAAGCCTTACATTACACCAAGACAAGGATAAAAGTTTCAACAGTTCCTCAGGCACTGTTTGTAAGAACTATGAATTCTAGCATGCAAAATAATTAGAAAATTGCAACTTTTTTATGAAAAACAGTAAACGGCCACTTTTGCAATTAGCCTATCTCTTGTTAAAATCAAATGTAATTACATTTGTAAGAACATGGTATAGTAAATTATAAGGAAAGTTAGGATAGTTGCTGAAGTCTATTAAACGGTACAACTCACGGAAGTTATTAAAAACGGCACTTCGCGCCGCTCCGGTGGTAACTGCGCAGTTTGAATTCTGGAGGCTTTCTTGAAAAGTGCTTCCTTATAAAAATGAATTGGTAATTATTTGGTGATAGACTCTAGGATATTTATTGTGAACGCGAGGGCCAAAGGCCCGAGCCTCGCCGTGAATTGGATCCGGGCGAGCGCAGCAAGAAAACTTGCATTACAATGCAGCGGGGACACGGTGTGTAAAGAGCGAGCCAAGAAAATCGCATATCCGAGCGCGTAGCGTAATATAAGAGAGGGCTTGAGGAGACCCCTCCCCCCCCCAACACCAGGCTTCTCTGATAAGTACCGTGTACCCTACTTTAACCATACCAGTACTATGGGGATCAGTGGCGGCTCGTGCTTAGGTTACGTAACCCCCAGATAACCGAAAAATATCATATAATGTTAGGAATATACATTTTCTTTTTAATGAATTCAATATATCGCACCAATATTGATGTATACGAAATCATTTTGACACCAAAGAGCATCCAACGTGCTCTCCCAGACAAAACACCATGTCCCGCTAGATTCATTACTACATTTCCTTTTTGGCACTACGCTTCAACATAGGGCAGGTCTGCACAACGCCTGCTCCCGCGGACATTCTGCAGCACTTAAGATCCAGCCGTCTGTACGCGAGAGCGGCGAAAGTGCAAGTAGTGGGGAGAGGAGTCGGAGCGGCTCGCCGCGGCGCGTAGATTGTATGATTGATCGCCTTATGCAATGTTCCATGCTGTGAAATTATTTGTCCACTTATTTAAATGGAGAATTTTCTCACCTGGGGACACCGCCTTGAAGTAGCGCCGTCCGTGTGGGCGGGGGTCCTTGTATGCTTCAATGAAGTGGAGGGCTTCACTGGTGGGGTCACCCCTGCCGGACAGGCCAAAACTGAGGGGCCAGACTAAGGCGTGTCCTACCACTACCATCCCAATCTTAACCGTACATTCTTTCCTATCTTTTTGTCCTTCCCCCATAACGATGTGTTCATTTCGTTATGGTTCCTTTATCTACCATTGTGACATCTTCAACTTTCTTGTGCCACAATGCTTTCATCTATTCCATCGGCCTCTCTTGGTCAACTCTTGTTTTTTCTGACCCCGACGCTATTAGGTTTCGAGGGCTAGGGAGTCTCTCCTCATCTTCCTTCCTTATTTCTTTAAGAGTAGTTGACAGGCCTTATACGCGGGTAGCACCCTAGAAGCATCCAAGTATGAATGGTGCATGATCCAACATGGGAAGGTGGGATTCACTAACCTTGGGAATTAATTCATCCCTAAAGAGTGGATCAGGAGTGGGCTAGAATCCTTAAGCTACGGTGGAAACAATCAGCCTAAGGGATGGAAAACCCTGAAATAAAAGCTCTGGTCCTCCAGGTTTGGGAGTTGTGCTGTAGGCCAGCACGCTGCACACGTAAAACATCACACCGCTAAAAATCTCAGTAATATGAATGCCTCTGATATTTCAAAAGGGAAATGTCATCGGCAAAGAAAATGGACTCTGAATATTGGTATATGGAATGTACATAGCATATCAAACAAGCAACAAGAAGTAATCCAGGAAATGATGAGAAGAAACATAGATATAGCCGTCTGGTCTGAAACAAAAAAGAAAGGCAAGGAAGCGAAACACTGAACAACTTTGTGCACTTTTAAAGTGGCGTAAACAAACATGAAAATGCCAAAGCCGGAATTTCTATTGTTATTGGTGGAAGATTCGGTAAATGTATAAAAAGTTGGGAGTATATAAACGAACGTCTTATTAAAGATAGTGTTAAATATCAGAGGAAAATACACGTGTCATAGGAATATATAATTTGAATGATGATGCCCCAATGGCTAAGAAAGATGATTTTGAAATGACAGTCAAAGAAACCCTTGACGATATTCCAAAGTCACATGAAATAATATTTGCAGGAGATTTTAACAGCAGAGTTGGAAAAACCAGAACAACAATATTGTGGGTCAACATGGTGAAGAAACTCGCAATGACAATGGAAAAAGACTTATTTTTAATATTTGTGAAGAGTATGAAATGAAAATTAATAACACTTTC